AACTGCTAAATCTCAGTAATTCATTCCTCAGAAGTTCCAAATATGTCTGTCTATATAAGTTTAATTTTGGTCCACAACCTTGCAGCTTAAAAAACTGAAACACCCTTTCAATTTAGTTGACATTCAATGAACTATAACATAAACCACAAATAGTTCATTGCTAAGGTTCAGCAGGAATTAAAGAATGAATGAAACAGAATATAAAGATAACATAAAGCGAAAGAAACAATGCACAATATCACAGCCAATAAATTCATTGACCAAACCACAAAATAGCAAGATAATTTACAAGAAAACAAATTCGCACACCTCTTCATACTTATAATCACGATCTGTTCCTGCCCATGGGTATCGAACAACTCCTAACACAATGCCCTCTCCTTCGTCATCCTCTCCAATCTGGTCACCTGAGTGACGATGAAAATGATAATAACATGTTTATCAATAAGTGGTGAGATAACTTATGAATTGCTAGATATATAGGATGTTGCTTTGAACTCTCCTGATCTTTTCTCAAAGGACCCAACTTAGAACATATAAATTATATACTGGACATCCTACCATCGAGATCTTCTCCAGAATCTCCATTGTTGTCATTTAAAAAGTTAGTTTCCACCTAAATTAGAAATACAACAAAAACGAATATGAATGTGCAATAAAATATCCACAAAAGCTTGAAAAAAATGCTGAACACCAGCTACTGCATTTATGCTGACCGGTTTCTTCTTCTTCTTCTTCATGCCAACAAAACTAGGTTCACCTATAGCATCAACTGCATCAACATATCAACGTGAGACAGTAGAAGCCATTTTCAACAAGACCTTCGTAAACCAAACACGCCCAATAAAGGACTAGCACTATATTCAAAATAATCCATACCTGTTAAACTTTCAGTTTTCTCAGCTAGTTTTTCTACCTCCTCTGCAGGATCTTGAATTACAACCTTTTTCTTTTTCTTCTTCTTAGTTGGATCAAAGGGTGCCAGCTACAAAAATTCGGCCAAAAATACGTTGAACTTGAAATTTAAACAAAGAAACAAATCATCACCATAATTCAAGTCTTTCCTTTTACAATCCATATGAATCAGGTATACAACAAGACTCATAGTTAATTATGACGCAGAGAATCAACCTGATGAAACTCTCCTAATATAGTAGTAAAATCCCAAGTAAAAGATAGTTGACTCCAAAAGGCTATTACACCATGACATTGGTAGATTATACGAAATTGATAAGGATCAAAAGCATCCAGTTGATTAAGTTCGCAAAGTGTCCAATCCTAACTAACGAAACTGGTGGAACAAACAAGTAGCTCTTACCTCAGGCACCTCCTCTTTCCTCTCAGTTGGATTCTCTTGAGCCATGTTTTCTGTCTCAGAAGTCAGAACCCTCAAAGTTAAACCTATCAACAAAACCAAATCCAATCAAATCAGACACATATATCATTTAGTATAAACTTCAAGGCAGATCGAAACGAACAGAGTAAGGAAACCCAAATATGGAACAAGATAAACCAAAACCTAGCTCATTTTGGCTAAGGCAAATTAGGGTAAAACCACAGGGACATGATCCCCATCAAGAACAACGAACACATGAACAAGGGGTCGAATCACCTCGACTTCTTTCCCCCGAGATCGCGACGCCAAAATGAAATCCGTTCACCGAGCTCAATGGGTATCTACGTACTGGGAGCACTGTGGATTCTCGATGCTGCGGCTTTATAGGGCCCGAAAAGGGTGGGGGTTGAGAGCGCACTTGGTTCGGGTCCGGTTCTGCTTCGTTTATAACGGTTCGGAACGTTCGTTGCTCATAAATGATTTATATTTTTAGAGAAATCGTGGCATTCAATTTGAAATCAATTCTTTAAACCAAAACCTGAATTAAAGTTTTGATGCAATAAAACCTATTTTTAATTTTTTTAATTTTCAATATTTTCAGACAACACTATCTTTTTTCTACTTACAATATCCTTTACATCATTATAATATTTTTCAGTATTATTATAAAAATAGTATAATATAATATTTTTGTATACTTTTTATAAAGATTTTGTGTTTATAGTATTTTTTATATTTTGTTATAATGTTTTCAACAATATCAAAAAATTATGGTAGCCTAATAAAAGATATTGTAACTCTGTGTTTTAGTTTGTAGCAATACTAGGAAAATACTGTAATATAGTAATTTTTTTTATTATAACGTAGTGACAATGACTGATTTACCCTATGGATCATCCTATTGAAAAAAGAAAAAAATGATAAAAAGGATAAATTATTGGGGTATTTTAGGTACTACAAAAGATATTGTTAAATTTTTTTAAATGGAAAAAATAAAAAAGAGGATTTTTTAATTCACCTTAATAAATATGCATAACTATTTTATTTTTTTGATATTTCTCATATTAATTATTTACCACTAAAGGCTTTTGACATACAATATCAACAACAAGTGATGATGTCTTGATTATTTGAGATCAATTTATAAAAAAAAAATTTATAGTTATTGGCTTATATACAAAAATAATATTTTAATTAGAATTATTTATAAAATCTTATTGGGTAAGTAATATACCAAACAAAAGGCTTTTGATACGTTTAGAAAAATAAAATTAAAATAGCCTTCCTAAAATCAAAAAAATAAAAACCCCATGCTTACTGAAAATTAAAGAATTTCTTTTAAAATAGAAATATATTACATAAAATTAAAAATAAGAAAGTTTTTAGATATTAGCATCTATGGGTTAATTTCAAGGTCATGATGTCCTTTTATATTTTTCTCTTTCTTTTTTTGTTCATCAAATTTGATCCATCCGGATTGAATATATGTTGGTTTTAGTTCCAAGCAAATTGGTCATTTAAATCTGGCTCACTCTCACATTTCTAATTCAATGTTCAAATCAAATTATCAGGTTTGATTTTTGAAATTGATTTGGTTTTGATAATTATGATTATGCCAATTGCTAGTGATAGGATACCTTGTTTTCTTTGTTAGGATCAAGAGTTGGGGTTGGCACTAAGAGGGGAGGTGAATTAGTGCAGCAGTAAAATCATGTCTTCAAAAACTTCGTTTCGATTAAAACCGTTTTCGACGTAAAACCGTTTAGGAGAGAGATTAACTTGAAAGTGTTTTCGTAAAGATAGCTTGAAGGCAGTAAACAATTAAAGAGGTTTGCAGCAAAGGTAAATTGCTTAAAGAAATGTAAACCAGATTTTAGAGTGGTTTGGTCAACGTGACCTACATCCACTTTCGGCTTCCTTCTCCAACGAGGTCACCGGCATCCATTAGAGGTCTTCCTTTGATAGGTGAAGATCAAACTCCTTCTTACACCTCTCTTCTCCTTTTTACGGGTTAAGGAGACAACCCTTATAAGCACCCACTCTCCTCTCTAAATAGAAATCTACGTTTAAGCTAGAGGAGGGATTTCTCAAGATATTGCAGCAGCGATTCTTCACTTTTAAACGCTCTGTGCTTTTGTTCTTTAACCAGGGATGAGATGAGTATTTATATAGGATTTAAGTTGATTCAAACTTGAAGCCTAAAACTTTCCCATCCTGGGTTCCCCGGGCACGAGCGGTACTACCGCCTTGTGTTAGTCCGACACTGACACTACCCTGGGCGATACCACCGCCCAGGTCTAGCGGTACCACCGCTTGGGGGGCATTGCTGGGCGGTACCATCGCCTAACACAGTCTCGAAGATTGTGCCACGACGGTGAGACTTCTTAGGGCATTGTTTGGGCCTCTCATTGGGCCCAACACAGTCCTTACATGGGCCTTACTGGTCCCTAATTGGGTTAGCCCAAATCCAAACCCAATTACGTGCTAACTACGAAATCTAAGACATAATATGAGCTAATCAAGTTCGTAAGTCTATTCTTTCGGCGAGCTTTTGACGATCTTCCAACGATCTCTCGACAATGTTTCGGCGGACTCCCGACAAGCTCTTGGACTTCACGACGATCTTCTTTGCGAGTTCCGATGAGCTTCTCTAGCAAGCTCCGAGACTTCATTTTGTTATATGTCTTGCTATTGTAGTTAATCCTGCACATGTAAAAACACATTTTGATCTAGACAATTAATACTAAGCATTAATCAAGTTATCCGACATGTCATTGGTCCATCGACACTTCGTCCGATTCTTCGACATATCGTTCTCTCTTGCGGCCTATTGCCCAATTGGCCAGTTGACTCCGTAACTCCGATATCTTTGGCGCAATATCCGCTCTTCTTGGTCCGATGCCCGAATCCACGGCCCGAAGCCTTCTGTCGATACGTCGACCGTTCCTTCGGCCCGACGTCTAATATTCTGATATGTTTTCCCCCAACACAACATGATTCTTCATGTTTTAATTATCTCATCCTGGTCGAAACATCTTGCGTCACTCAAAACATAAATTAAAATATAAATATTATTAATTAGTTTCATCATCAAAATATGAGATTCAATATTCTTCACATATGAAATATTTTTGTCGACGGCTAAACTCCACTCCAACTAGAATAATAAATAATAATAATATTATAATCTTATAATAATAAATAAAAATTAAAATTTTAAAAAATAAATACTTATGTACATAGTATATGTTTCTATAAAATTTATATGATAATATTTTTGTATTATGTTATAATATTTTTTTAATATTATAATTGCATCATTTCACCCCATAGGACATATAAAAAGAAAGAAGGAAAAATAATATTATAGTTATTAGGTAAAAGAGGACAGTTGTTATCAACTTCTGAAAATAGTGGGCACTTGGAAAATGCTTTTTAAACTAAAATTTTAATTTCTTATTTAGTTAAAAATATTTTTACATATTTTAATAATGATATAAAATTCATAGGAATGGTCTCAAGTATTTATTATTATTTATTTAATAATGATATAAAATACATATTTAATAGTGCAGGCGGTACTGTTGTTGTCATGTGAAGTAACATACTGTACCGTCCTTTTGTGCTGTCACCGACTCCCTGCTTGCACGCATAGCCACCCGATGATGAAAGCGAAACAGCAACGTAAAGGTTAACGGAGACACAGAATCCAAGAAACGAAGAGGTGGCATTGGCTTCAAAGAGATGGACGCGAACGGGTGGCAGAGAAGAACGTGGAAGCGAAAAATGCGTGTCTTCTAAGTAGTTGAAGGTAGTGATTGCGGGCAGCAAAAGGCCTTCTGCGGTTTTCAACAACCCTGTTCCTCCTCTCCTCCCGTTCCTCACTTGCATTTCGTTTGAGGTACTTACTTCTCTCTTTGTGCTTTCTTTCGTGGGATTTTGATGCGTGCTTGCTGGTATCGGTTGATCTTGCATTTTCTGGGTGGGAGTTTACATGTTTTGGCGGATATTTGGGTTTAATCTGCTGGAAGTTCGAGTTTTTCTCACTGATTCAGGGAGAGTAGAGTGAAGCCAGTCGCTTTCTTGTTTAACGGTCCGATCTTGGCTGGATCTATGGTTTCTTCCCTGGAACCCAGAATCTAGTTCGCAGCATATGCAGTCTTGATTTCTGTTACGGCGACTTCTCATCCCCTGAATCCTTTTTTCGCTGTTGATCCTGCTTTGAAACAGAAGAAAAATCTAATTTTGCCTGAGATTTCGAGCGTTTCTCCATGAAGAACCATTACATCCCACCTTCCGTCCTCGTCTGTGCCTCCATTGTCTTGTTACTGACTGTAGCTCCGGCCTCCGTCGCGGCCGACAACTCCACTTATGTGCCGCGGGACCATATCCTCCTCGACTGCGGCGCCTCCGGGCAGGCCACTGACGCCAATGGACGATCTTGGACCGCCGATTCTGGATCCAAGTACGCCCCCTTTCTGAATGGCGGCGGTTTCACAGCTCCACTGCAAGATTCGTCGGTCCCTCAAGTCCCTTACTTGACCGCTCGAGTCTTCACCTCTCCTTACACCTATTCCTTTCCTCTCGGCGCCGGCCGGAAATTTATCCGCCTACATTTCTATCCTTCTAATTACTCCAACCATGCCGCCTCAGATGCCTTCTTCTCCGTCACCGCTGGCCCTTACACCCTACTTCACAACTTCAGCGCCTACCAGACCGCCGATGCTCTAAATTTTGCCTACCTAACCCGTGAATTCTCTGTCAATGTCTCCACCGGCGGCCTAAACCTCACCTTCACCCCCTCAACCGGCCGTGCCAATTCTTATGCCTTTGTTAATGGCATCGAGATTGTATCAATCCCCGACTTCTTCAGTTCGGCAAGACCTGTGCTTCTCAATGGTGGTACTCCAATTGTGTACACAGTCGATCAGGACCAAGCTCTCGAGACTGTTTACCGGCTTAATGTCGGTGGGCAAGCAATCCCCCCCACCAAAGACTCCAGCTTGTTCCGCACTTGGGGCGATGATTCTCCATACATCTATGGGGCTGCATTCGGTGTGACATACTCTAATGACCCAAATGTTTCCATCACATACCCGACTACGGTGCCAAACTACATTGCACCACTGGATGTCTACTCAACAGCACGGTCGATGGGGCCAGATTCGCAAGTCAATCTGAACTATAACTTGACATGGATTCTCCCAGTGGATGCTGGCTTCTATTACCTTGTCCGCCTACATTTCTGTGAGATCCAGTATCCAATAACCAAGATGAACCAGAGGGTCTTTGATATCTACATCAATAACCAGACTGCACAGCTACAGGCTGATGTCATAGCTTGGAGTGGCGGAATAGGCATCCCTGTGTATGAGGACTATGTGGTGATTACAACTGGAAGTGGGCAGATGGATTTGTGGGTTGAGCTCCATCCAGATACCATGTCAAAACCGGAGTATTATGACGCTATCTTAAATGGGCTCGAGGTGTTCAAGTTGCAGAACAGTAATGGCAGTCTTGCTGGTTTAAATCCAGGACCTCGTCCCGAACCAGAGGTGGATCTTAGCAGAATTTTCAGTCACAAGAATGGGAAACACAAGAGTAAAATTCCATCTGTTGTTGGTGGGGTGATTGGAGGATTTTCCATTTTGCTCACTGGTGTTTGCCTTATTGGAATGTGCAAACGGCAAAAGAAGAAGTGGAAGGATGCCGGTACCAGTGATGGACCTTCAGGCTGGTTGCCTCTCTCCCTTTATGGCAACTCGCACTCAGCCACATCGGCCAAGACAAATACTGGAAGCTATGCATCTTCCCTTCCTTCCAACCTCTGTCGTCACTTCTCCATTGCGGAGATCAAGGCAGCCACAAAAAACTTCGATGAGTCTCTCCTTCTTGGAGTTGGTGGGTTCGGGAAGGTCTATCGTGGTGAGATAGATGGTGGAACCACAATGGTGGCCATCAAGCGTGGCAATCCAATGTCTGAGCAAGGTGTCCATGAATTCCAGACTGAGATCGAGATGCTTTCCAAGCTCCGACACAGGCACCTTGTATCTTTGATTGGTTACTGCGAGGAGAACTGTGAGATGATCCTAGTCTATGATTATATGGCCCATGGGACTCTTCGAGAGCACCTCTACAAGACAAGGAAGCCACCTCTTCCATGGAAACAACGGCTCGAGATCTGCATTGGGGCTGCACGCGGGCTGCATTACCTGCACACCGGTGCCAGGCACACCATCATACATCGAGATGTGAAGACCACAAATATACTGTTAGATGAGAAGTGGGTAGCAAAAGTTTCAGATTTCGGTCTTTCAAAGACAGGTCCAACAGTTGACAACACCCATGTCAGCACAGTGGTGAAGGGCAGCTTTGGTTACCTTGACCCAGAGTACTTCAGGAGGCAGCAGCTCACTGAGAAATCTGATGTCTACTCATTTGGGGTCGTGTTGTTTGAGGTCCTTTGTGCTCGGCCAGCTCTTAACCCCTCACTTCCAAAGGAACAAGTAAGCTTGGCTGAGTGGGCACTGCACTGCCAAAGGAAGGGCATGCTCGACCAGATCATTGATCCCTACTTGAAAGGTAAGATTGCTCCACAGTGCTTCAAGAAGTTTGCAGAGACTGCAGAGAAGTGTGTGGCTGACATTGGCACCGAACGGCCTTCCATGGGTGATGTGCTTTGGAACCTTGAGTTTGCCCTCCAATTGCAAGAGAGTGCAGAGGAGAGTGGCAGCATCGTTGATGGGATCTCGGACGAGGCAATACCACTTGTCATCAGAAAGAAAGAAGCTAATGATCCTTTGATCGAATCAAGCACCACTACAACCACAACCACCACAGCAAGCATTGGAGGACGGAGTATTAACAGTGAGGACTCTGAGGGGCTTACTCCAAGTGCTGTGTTCTCACAGATCATGAACCCAAAGGGACGATGAGAGGTTTTCCTTGATGCTTTTCTGAATCTAGTCTTCTCTTCTTTTTACTAGATCTCTTAATTAGGAATGTTTAAGAAGTTTGTGCTGTAATACTATTTAAACATAGAATTTCCTATAACTTTATCAGAGCATCTCTGAGATCCCTTGTGATTCAAAGAATGTTATGAGTGCCACGGTTGT